AAAAAAAAAAAAAAAAAAAAAAAAAAAAAAAAAAACAGGAGATTGACTCTAAGATACACAAGAATAAATAATAAACCTTATAAAGTTTTTATCTTTTAAGTTTTTTTTAAGTTTCTTGATAACTTTCATCTTTGTTTCTTACACTTTTAGTTCAAATGTAGAGATTTTTTAATATACTAATATTACTAGATACTAAATAGTAATAATATAATATGCATACAAACTATTGTACTGAAGAAGTAATTAAAAATAATATATATAATTATACCTCATATAAATCAAAATGATGTAGTTGGTCTATCAAGTATATTTTTATGTAAAAAATGTAATCAAAAAATAATAATTAAACAATTATATATATTAGAAGTTCACTTTTACAAAATGCTAATGAGTTATTTTGACCTATCCAGTCATTCTAGTGTTAAACAAAACTCCAGTAATAAGTAACAAAATCTTACTGAATGAAATTCATGTTTCAAATTAAAATTTAACTAAAGTAATTGTTATTTTTTTATTTCTTCTATTTTAAAGGGTACTTTTTCTTTACAAATACCATTAGTTATTATTTTTATATAAATTATTTTGTTTTAATAAATATAATTGACTTTAAGTTTATAAGTTTGAAAAAAAATTAAACATTCAAATATACTTTTATGAAATATATTAAGTTAAGCCTGCTGTTTATTAAAAATGATGTATTTTTGTAATGTAATATATATAGTGAACAAGCTGCCAGAGTCCTCAGAAACTCAATAGTATTAGTATTAATTTAAACACATGCAGAGACATCTGCTTCATCAAATATAAGTAACTTCATTTGTTTTCCATTAAAATTTCATGGAACCAATGATAGCATTTTTCTTGTTTGCTTTTTTACTTTATTTTTTTTATAACATAATACAAGCAATACTATCAATTAAGAACACGACCAATTAAGAATAGGCAAACATATCAAATTTGGGATATTTATTTAGTTACTCACTAATAAAAATTTGTGATAATTAAGGATTTTTGTATGAAATTTTTCTAAATGAAATTTTATTAAAAGATTACCACCACCCTAATGTATATAAAATAATACAAATAGATATAATTATTTTATAAAACTGTTTTAGTATATTCCGTGATAAAATTGAATGTTGTATATTTCTTGGTAATTTAACATATCAAAAAAAAAAAGAAATGTTTTGAATTATGGAATTATAAATATTTTCTGCATAATTCATTAACATGTTTGGAAATCATGCAAAAAGCTATCTCTACTTTTATACACTTGTTCAATTTCAACAAAATATTTGTTCATGCAACAATATGAACATACCTTTATTGCATTATTATTATTATTATAGTCATTATTATTGTTGTTACCATTATTAAATTTTGTATTATTGTACACCCGTTTAGTTTCCAAAGTGGATTCTATATTATTAGTTTTATTAGCCTATAAAATATATAGGTGTTAGACACAATCATTGAATATTATCGTACAACTTTCATTGTACTTGCAATACGAATATATTCATTATTCATATATATTAAAGACATTTATCATTGATATTTAAAAAATTTTGTATCATTAAATTTAGTTTCTACATGGAGTACAACTTGTTTTGAATGCATATATTATAGATATATTTTAGCATATAATTTATCTTGTTATAAATTCACATTATTATGATACAAAATGATATAAAATATCTGAATACTGTAAACCTAATATACTTTTTTAATTTTACCAATAAATATTTAGTATATCCAACCCAACAAATAAGTTGGATAAACACAATATTTAAGAGAAATGTAGATCCAATCTGCCACCTTTAACAGCAATTTCTTCAAAAGCTAAAATGTGATATATTAAATATATTATAAGAACTAACATGTTATTCAAATCCCTTCATTAAATTGCTGTTTAGTTTATATTAGACAATGTTAACATACATTGATAAATGCAAAAAGATTCTTTTATTAAATAGATAATTATGAAATATGGCAATATTGATAATAGAAATGTATGTGAATTAATTTCTTATACTAATTTTACTCTAATACTAATTTTGTAAATTCATCCATGTGACTAATAAGAAAAGTACTCACTTTAACAATTTTACTTCATATTTCGTATAAATATTACTTCTACTTAAATTAAAATTAATCAACAATAACTTATCACTTCTCAGATTATCAAAAATGTTAATTAAATATGATAATTTATCATTTATTCTTTTTAATTACTTACAAACTTTAAATTTAATAAAAGTAATATTTGTATAAAACCAATTTATTTTATAAGTTTTATTAATTTACATAATATACATTTGTAGTATCAATACTGCTAAGCCTTATATAACTATGCACTACCTATTAACTGTAACATTTTATAAAATGTATATTTAAAGAAATGTACACTTACTGAAATAAATAATTTCTTTCAATTTTTCTTTGAAATACTGTTTTACGATCATGTTTCAAAATTTTAATTTTATATTTATGATGAGTATACAAATAAGTTAATTTAACAATCATTTGAAATTATTTTCAATTGATTTTTTTCCAAATTCTGCAATTTGAAAAATTTGTATTAACTTCCTTCGTTAAACTTGAAAAGAAAAAGAAAGAATATGTTTTATGGTATAATATTGTAATTGGAATTTTTTATCAAACTATTTTGTCGAAATGCAACATATGCAAAAAAAAAAACCAAAAAATCTAGTAATATATATTTTTACATTTCATATAAAAAATGAAGTATATTTTTTCATTAAATATATTTATTTCAATTGGTATTATATAATCTAATTTAAAATCTGTAGAATATCATTGCTGCTGTCTTTAATAACATTGCTAAATAAAGTAGAAAAGGAATGAATTAATTTAGATTAAGGAATTCAATAATATAGAATCAATTTCTAATGAAGCTGAAGTACTATTTTGTTAATTAAAGAAAAAAAAGTATAACATAACCTGTTTATAAAGTATCTTTTTTTTTTCAAAATATAATATTTTTTAACATTATGTGTGTGTTTATATATATATATATAGATAATATATAGATAATATAGATATATATATATATATATGTGGAACAATATTTTATGTATATGTGTATGTATGTGTTTATATGTTTATATACGTAACCATATAAAATCTTAAAAAGGTCAATTTAGGCTAATTTCAAATGATGTTTGAACCAACTTGTTTTCTTAATGTTTATAATTATGATTTTATTTTATAAGCAGTATATATTTTAAATACAAACCGTATCTGTAGTTTCCCGTTTTTGCCTTTCTAGAGTTACTGAACGGATATGATGTACCTTACTTGCATTATTTGTGAAAGCCACAATCAATACCTGAAACAAAATTAGTATATCTTTTTAGTATATTACATACTAATATAAAATTATTGTACAGTGGTAAGTGTTAAAAAAATCTTAGAAATATTATATAATAATAATATATTGTAATTCTTACCTGACCATCATAAGCTTGAATAAATGCATCATGAATGACATTTAAAGCATTATTTAGCAATGATAAAGCTTCCCTGGAAGTAGTTGAATTACTACCATAAGCATCAAATATAGGACGCAAACCAGATATAACAAGCCAGTAAATATCAGACTTTGAATCTGGTTTGATTGCTGAAGGTGCTTTTTTAGCAATAGCATGGAGTAATTGTACTTCTTCAAGGAATTTTTTATCTTCTTCCTTTCTTAAACTTAAAGCTTGTAAAGATGTCTCATCAATTGGGGTAGGTTTCAATTCTCCAAGAGCAGATTGTCCTAGCTGAATTTGTATTGTATAAAAACCATTTTAATTTTAATTAAACTATTTTAGACATAAGTTTTTAATAAATATTAAGTATATTTATATAAATTAATAAACACTAATACATTAAATAATCAACATATAATTTTATTAAAAAGACTTATCAGCTTATTAATACTAATATTTTATTTTACTTTGGTAATACTTATATATATTATTATTTTATACTTACAGCATCCAGACCATCGCCTAAAGATATCCTCACTAAAGTATTATCATTATCCCTTTCTTCAAGACGTTCTCTAAGAGCTTGCCATGTAGTTTCTTCAACTTCATTAACATTTAAAGGAAATCTTTTTCCTTTCGATATGTTTAAAGAGTCCACTCCTTCTATTGCTACTGCAACAACAGCTTCTGGAAGTCTAAATGGATCAGTAATAGAAATACCACTCCATACCCCTCTCTATAACAGATATATGATAGTATACAATTAATATTTGAAATATTATAAGTTGTATAATTCATAATCATTAATAATATAATTGTAAATTTTATTTGTTTACATTTGTATACATTTTCCATTAAAATATAAAATATTAACAAATAAATGATATATGTACAGAAAACAGTTTAAAGATATACCAGTTTGACAGTGAAACCTAATGCAGCAGCTAATACTTCTTTAAGTAAGCTTTGTTCCACTTCTTCATTTCCATTGAATAAAACACTATTTGGGCTATGTAAAACTACAAAATCTCCACTTGCATTGACTATAATAATAGGGAATAATAATTGTAGTGTTTGAATGTTGTTAATTAATTAAACAAAAGAAAATGATATTTAAATATTATTTTAAAGCATATTAAAATTCATACCTACTGCTAATGCAGTTACAAAACATAAAAATAATTTAAACATTTTTATTCTAGCTGATCACTATAAAATTAAGACACTCCCTTAAATTCAATACGAATTCACAAACTGATCATATGACATTAACGTAATAGAAGGTTTAGTAGCAACAGCATGTGCTGACATATAGGGAGAATCGCATGAACTATATGCACAAAAGAGTCGTGTAGATAATGTAGTAGATATTTTCATACATTTAACTTACTTTTCTAAAAAGTAAAATATCTTTTATGATTTTCTTACTTTTAAATTTGCAACTTAAAAATTGTCTAGTTTTAAGTTCCTAAAAATAAATTAATATATAATTTCATTAAATTTAATACTATCATAGACAATAATTACTATCTTATTACTTCTTTTTCTATGGAAATAGACAATATGAACAAAATATTTAAATTGTCGCTAGTGTAGCTTCTGGGCGTTAACTAAAAATGTGAGTAGCGACATACCTTCAACTTGTGATTTATGCCCATCTTACCTCGTGACTACCCTATTGATTACTTCTGCAATCGGAATCGGGAAGCTGGTGTGTCTGCTAAATGTTTAGCAGGAGAAAATTGCGTTGAAATAGTGTGGATTCTTAGTAAATTTATTTTAATCTTTCTTATTTTACTTTGAAGTTTTATTTTTCACAACGTTTATAATCATTTTAACCTAACAATATTATTTCTTACTAAAATCAAATATGGGATCGCTTTTTCGAAGCGAAGAGATGACCTTGTGTCAACTCTTTTTGCAAAGTGAAGCAGCTTATGCCTGTGTCTCAGAACTTGGCGAACTTGGTCTTGTACAATTTCGAGATGTAAGTTTTATATTATTATTATTATTATTATTATTATTACTATTATTATACAAAATATACATGAAATGATTATATGTCATTACTATGAGAAAATATTTAATTTTTAAAGTATTGAATAATATGAAAAATTTCAAAATTTACGATATATGCTAAATAAAATATGTATTAAGAATTAATAGCTTTTTAATATAATTGAAACTATTCATTCAAAGTATTGTAAATCAATTATTTATTAATGTGAATATAAAAATATTTGGAGTTAAGTATATTCTAATTTTTACATTATGTTACCAAAGTAAAATTAGTAATACATGTCATTTAATATAAATGTATGTAAATTTTGATATTAATATACTATCATAATATTTCATAATGTTTCAAAATTATTGATATATTTTAATGTTTGATTATTGATTATAAAGATTAACCTTCATTTTATAAGAACGTAACAATGGAACAAATGTGAATTAGTTTATTGATATGGTTACAAGAGAACAGTGATTAGACAAACGAATAGAATAAATTAAGAATATAGTAGCTAAACAAATTTGTGTTGTAATAAAATATATTTGTATATTGGAATAAAATATCCTTTTTGCAAATATTCTTGTATCTATACATAAATTACAATAAAAATTAATACTTTTTTATCAGAAATAACTTTAAATTACAACATTCAATTTTTTAAACAAATTTTGAATTATTTTTCATTAAAATTCTAAATAACATTAGAATTACATTTAATATAATTTTTTTATTGAACATTAAAAAAATTAGAACATTACTGTGCATTATTCACAACATTTTTAGTAGTTCTAATATCTATTGTAAAATACCAAATAAAATGTATTATGAAATAGAATATATCGTGTCAAATATAACTTATATTGTTAATAATATTGTTTTATACCATTAAATTTATTCTACTGTACTGTAAATACAAAAAATTGAATTGCTTTTTTAAATATTATTAATGAATGATATTATCGATATTGTCATTATTAAAGTTTAAATATAGGAATTAATTTTCCATATTGAGTGATGTAGAATCATTTGTTCAAAACTATAATAAAATTCCATAAGATTAGATTATAACTTATAAGCTTAAACGAATGGCTTTGAGTTGTACGAAGAAAAAATATTTGTTTAGGAAACAAATATTCAAAATATAAAAATCTTTTCTTAAGATCATGTTTCTTAATATCTCAAATTTATCAATATTTTTAAATACCAAAATTTGCATTATTTTTATCATTTGATAAAACATTTAATAAAACAACTGAATATTTATATATGAGATTTCATTCGTTCATTTTCATTTCTTGGGAGTTATTTATTTGGTAACTAAAATTTTAAAAGTAGCTAAAAGAGGCACTTGAAATAAATAAATGATATGTTTAATGTTAATTAAATTTAATTAATATATAATTATGCTAATTATTAATGTTAAAAGAGAATTTTAATAGATATTTAATATATGTAATCTTTTTTTCCAGTTGATAATAAAAGAGGAAACTGTTAAAGATAATTTATTCTCTTTCAATTTGACAATATTTTTATTTCAACTCATTATTTTTAATTGAATAGAAAATCTAAGGGATTGATCGCAAAAATAATTTTTTAAATTTTATGCAATTAAACAAAAGGAAATGATGCCATAATATCATTTATTATCGATCAATTATTGAAAAAAATAATTATAATAAACTTTTTAACACATTGCTTTGTTGTATACTCTCGTATTATCACCGTTACGTATCAGCAAACGTTGAATCATTGCATATCAAAATTTGATATGACTATATATAACGGGATAGATACATAAATTTTTCGATTTTTCGTCACCGCGTGAAAGAAATTATGCGATATTGAATTAAGCCAACTTGGTTGGGAAGTATTATACTGTTTTTTTGTACACTTATTTTTATTGTGGACAATCCAGTTTATCATCAGGACGCATCACTAGTGTTAGCATGAATACGCAATAATGACGAAAAAAAAAATTATAAATTGCTGCATCGTAGTGTATCAGTGATTGATACGTATTGGTGTTACGATATGAGAATACTCAATAAATATAGACACACCTTAGACAAATAAATTTATAGTATGATATCATGAAGTATACAGATGTATTAAATACATTTCTTTGTTAGCTGAAAATTTTTTATAGATATTTTGAGGATATTTTTTCTGACACTGATAACGATTGGATTAAGTTTGAATTTTTTAAAACCGACCAAAAGAATTTTTGATAAACTAAATAAGGTAAGAGTTTGCTTTAATGATTTTGCTTTAATCTGTTTATTTTTTCCGGTTTTTTTGTGCTGCGCACAATGTGTCGAGTATATGAGCGTTCAGAACTAGTAAACAATTAAGATACTCTTATCTTTGTATCGATTATGAAATTCTTCAATCATTTTCACTATTGCAATTTGTTATTTGTTTGTTAATTGTTTAACTTTAACTTTGAAACATTTGATATCTAATGGTTTTCGTGGAAAATTCTCGAAATGAGTACCTTATATTTCATGATACATTTGTAACATTTTATTATTGATATGGTTACTGCTTCAGTACTTCTTGATATTTGAAGTTGTTGAAAATTTCATTTTATATCCAGTTAGATAACTTTCGAATAAAAATTTTGAAATGAATAGATTAAATGTTTAGGTCTTTATTGTATTGCTTATTAAAAACTATATTACGGAATTGAACAAAATTTTCAACAATACCTGAAAGTAGTGAAAAAATAATTAACTTAATAACAAGATATTTATAGGTATGCTTTAAAATGCGAGGTAATCATTTTTAACACTTTCTGTGAAGGTAATCAAATACCACATAATTATGTTTTCTAAATAAGGAAATACGATTTCAAGTATTTTCAACGTTTAAATGTTTATATTATATGAAAATTATTGTAGTGTTTTTAAATACTAAATCAATGTTTAAAATACAATAGATTCTATATATTACAGGACACCTTGTTCATTATACTTATTGACTAATGAGTCAGTAAGTATAATTATTTTTCCTTTGTCTGATTGGAAAGTTATAAAATATTCCGTATGAACTTGTAAATTGCCATTGGTTAAGCTCGATTAATCAATTTATTTTGTTGTTATCTTCTATAGTTGATCAATAAAATAATTATCCTGAATATCGACGAGTAACTTTGTTGTGGAAAAATTATAAAATTATTACGACTGGCAAGCTATATTTAATTGTGTAGTATATTATATTGCCAAAAGTATTAGTTTGTTTCTTTCATTTCTCACTTATTTCAGAATCTAATGTTTATTATCATAAGATATATTTTGTTCACTTTCTTTACTTTAAATGTTTATCTGAAATAATTATCTGTTTATAAAGAAACTTTAGGTAGTGGTTACGTTTGACTTAATGATACACAAAAAATGGCCGTTTTTAAAATACAACGTTATCTAGCTTCGATACGAAAAATTTATTCTAAGTAAATAATTTTTGCTCATCGACCATATAAATGAAATTTTAAGACATACACAAGGTGATTCTCCTACCAGTAAAGGCGAGTGTCGCCACTTAACAAAGCGACAATAACCTTGATTTGTTGTGTAATCTGTCGATATGGTTCTACACACATAGCAAACTGTCGAATTGACGGTTACCATGCAATGACATTTATATATGTATATATACGTAATACGAAATTGAAAGTGTGAAAATGAATATTGTTGTAGCGTTAAGTAACTGCATTCAATCTAGCAAGAGAATTATGTATATATATACATAGATAAAATATCAGTATTTCCGGATAAATATCCAATGAATTTAATAGTAGTATAAGCATATCAATCTTTATTTATAGTAATTAAAAATCCGTTTATCTGTGATTAATAGACATGTAAAGAAGGATTTTAGCTTCAACAAAATAATACGTAATACTGCATTATTCATTTTAATTATGAATATTACGATCACTTATGCATTACTAAATATTACATTCTAAATAATAATTATACATATCTAAACTGACTTATCTTTGTGTGAATAGGTTGCTTTGGATGTTCAATGAATCTAATTATTTAGCTAAGTATATACGGAATAAAAACTTAAATATAAAGAGATCTGCATTGATACTGAATATTGCATTGAATTAGAATTTTTTTCACAGTTACGTATATATTCGTGATCTATATTTATACAAAGTGTTCCACATAACTTCATACTACCAACTAGATTCCATCTTGTGATTTTACGAGCAAAAATAAATCAGAAATGTAGAACAAAATTTTTTTAACCAACAGGTCTAGTTTTCGAAAGCATCAGTTTTGAAAATTTCTTCGGTTTATATACCATCGCATGTCGACTTGATACATCTCGGCATATGTTCTTATATTTATAAACATGTTAATGATAAAGATTGACGTTCTGTTGTTTCTAATATCTTATTGCCGGTATGATCGTTACTATAGATAATGGATTGTATAACTTCGTAGAAAAGACACATAATTAAAATTATAAGGAAAGCTTTATCGTTATATGCATGACTACTTTATATACGCATATTGGAACATTTATACTATTGTAGAAATTTCTGAAATTTTCATGAATATTTTCAAAAATTATTTTTTGGATATAGAACTATCAAAATAATACAAAGAATAGGAAATTGATTTTGTTTTAATTAATTTCGAAAGTTTTATCTTTTAAATATGATATATGTTTAAATTATTTCTTTTATTCAATTATTTTTTAGGATTTGCAGCTAGTTCCAAATTCTGATTCATACTGATACATTCAGGAAATTCAAAGTAACACGATAATATAAATTATTCTACTTTAAATTATTTTATTATTATTAGTTTGCAAATTGAAGTTTGGAAAGGTTTTCTTATTTACTGTGAAACCATAAAGTCAAATTTCAATCCCTCTTGACCTTGGATATTACATATCACATGTTTAAATACTTAGTACATTAGTTTTTATCTTTTAGAACCTAACTTTTTGTAAATAACTTTAATATTCTTTGCTATTGGTTATTGCTACGAATTTACAAAATCTAATTATTCTAAAGATCATGATTTTCCTTTGTTTTCTCCATAACTAAACTATGCTAAGTTGATTGAATTCAGAACTCGATTATGTTTACGAAATCTGACTGTTTCTATCTAACGCCACTTTCCTATCGTTAAATTATTTAAATTGAGTGATTGGTTGCGTAATTGATTAAATTAATTGCTGATAAATCTTTTTCTGAATATTTTTCTTTCCACCTAGTTTTACGTGCCGGCTTCTTACAATTAGTATTAATTCAAGGTCCTTTAAAGATTTTAGATTGATCAATTTTTTTTTAAATTGATCACTTTTTTTAAACAGTTATTACTTCTGTGGGGTCTTACAGTTCCTTTTCAAAAATTCACTTATATGTATCTTAAACGGAAATGAAACACTATATATATATAAATTCTAATAATTTAAACGAATAAAATAAAGTATGGTTAATGAAATTTATAGGATCATTAAGAAATTAAAAATATGTTATCAAGAAATAAAACAATTTTTATCATATTGCATTTTGAATTTATTTTCGAGATTAAATAAACCAAAAAATGGAAACACTTACAAACAAATAAAAATGCATATTACATGTACCTTACATATAATACTATCGTTTAAATGTTGAATATCAATTTTATATTTTTATTTTATTTTTATATACAAATTAGGGACTTTATTTAATATAGTCATAGCTTAATTTTTCTATTAAAAAATGTTTTAATTTTTTTTTCATATTTATGAAATTATGTAACGTTTAATTTTAAATAAAACGTTACACTATAGGAGGACAAAAGTAAAAATATTTTTCTGCGAGCAAGGTTACGTTTATAGTCCAACCTAAGTGTATTTAAGTGTATTATGATAGATTAAACACTTAAGTAACGTTTATATCACGAAACAATATTTCAGATTGCAAATTGGTAAGGCTTTCTTGTTAGAATCTAAAACTAGAATTTAATATAAAATTTATTCATTTTATAATATGTCCACTTTATAGCAATAATTTATTTTAACTAATTAAATATCAAAATAATTGTTTATTTAAGGTAATTTTATATATTTATCTTGTTGATTAAATAAAATTATTATGTATTTTAAGAATAGTAATATTAATTTAAATATTACACATTTAAGTTAAAAATAAAATAATTTAATATAATATAAATTTATATATTATGTATTTATTTTATAATTCAATCATTTCATATATTAATTTAAACATATTTTTGTGTAGCTCAATCCTGATGTTAATGCCTTCCAACGAAAATTTGTTAACGAAGTACGTCGTTGTGATGAAATGGAACGTAAACTGCGGTACTTGGAAAAAGAAATTAAAAAAGATGGTATTCCAATGCTTGATACTGGAGAAAATCCAGAAGCACCACAACCCAGAGAAATGATAGATCTTGAAGCAACATTTGAAAAATTGGAAAATGAGTTGCGAGAAGTTAACCAAAATGCAGAAACACTTAAACGCAACTTCTTGGAATTAACTGAGCTAAAGCATATACTTAGGAAAACACAAGTCTTCTTTGATGAGGTAAGAATACCTTTTTCAAAACTTATTTTAACAGCATTTATGTAAAACACTATAGCTTGAATATGTAAAAAATATTACATAGTATTGCATTCTTAACCTGCACGAAAAATAAATACATAAATAAAACAAGTAGTATATATTATTACTATTGTTATTATATATTTACTACATATTGTAACAAATACATATATATATTGCATTAATGTACAGTATACATACAGAAGCACGTAATTGAAACCATTTTGAAAACTCTGTAAATAATAATTTTATTGAGAATTGATTTAGATAAATGTTACGTGATTCAAAAGGGACTATATGTTGCACTATTTAGTTTTCTCTTAATATTTAAACTTTAAGAGTATGTTTACATAAATGTCTAAAATAAAAATTAAATTTTGTTGTTTTATTAATAGGTATAGATAACACAGAAATAAATTTAAACTTGTTAAATAGTGTGAAACAATTAAAACGTCTTTTGGAGAAATTTGACTAATAAATGTAACTAGTTTCAATTAATATTATAAAAGAGTAATATATTACTGTAATTAAATTTCATTAAAAGTCGTTTAAAACAGATATTGTTTAACATGATTAAATTTGTTTAGGTGTTACATTTCTTTGTAATAAAAAAGAATTTAATTTTCATTTAAAGAAATTGGAAGTTTTTATGATTTTGAAAAGCATAAGAATTTAAAGAGTTGAGTATTGTAATATACAGTATTTTTCAAATTATGTAATAATTGTTTAGCTCAATTTTCATTAAAATCATCATTTCAAGAATCATTAAAGTGGTTTTAGTCTCGTGCTTTATTCTGTATTTCTATACAAGAAATTTGAATAATGGATGAGAGAAAATATGAAAATTAATTTTACATGATAAAGTAAGATAGTAATCAAGGATAATAAATTTGTGTTTAAAGCTTTGTTTTTTAGTAGTAAGTACTCAAGTATTTAGGCAAGAACTATCTGAGTGGATTAATAATTCATTCAATAATCAAGAATATATGATAAACAATTAAACATGTGTTGAAACTATCTAAAATTTTGAGACATTTGGTGTCAGAATGTATTCTACTATAAAATGTGTAAAATAGATAAAATAAGCTAACCTTGTATATTCAACAAAATTTACAAAGTTATAATAAAGGAAAGAAAGATCTTTCTTGGCATACAAGTCAATCCTTATAAATAATTGACATGTGAAAAAAAGTTTATGAGTACTATCTCTATGAAAAATATCTACTATTGTATTATGTATGTATTACTAGTAAATGTATTACAGTTGTGTCTTTATCTTTGTCTAGTCTATAAAATTATAGATAATATATTTACTCCTTTTGTCTAATATATTTAGAATTATACACTTTATAATAATATAAAATTTAGTCACAGTTATCCTAATATGTATAGACCCTTTTTGTGAACATATGCACATATTAGTTATTTATAAAGACAAATTTGTGTGCTGAAGAAGGCATTGATTTCTTTCACAATTTTGCCTTTAATTTAACTTTGCAGATTTTAATGAATATATTGAATTTATATAATTTTTCTATTTTACCAATTGTATACAAAATATTATAAAGTATTGCAAAATTAACTGTTGTTATATGATATGTATACATATGAATTGTTTATGTTCATTGATGTTTGCTGAATTACTAGTTCTTAAATATGCTTGCTCAAATATCTATACGTTTATAACAAAATACAAAGCTTTAATTGAAATTTCATTATTCTAGATGTCTACATTATTTTGACATTAAACTGATTTTTTTATTTTTTCGCTTACATAATATTGTATATGAAAATATTGTACAATGAATCATGAGATATAGAATAATTGAATGTCTTTTACATTTATCATGTAGCTAGAAGGCTAGCAAAAAATATTGAGGTTTTTATTCAATCATTATTATTGAAAATATTTTTAAATATAAAAGTTTAAATATTATCTGATTCTAATGAAAAAGTAAAATTTGATCAGTAGAAAAATTGGATATAAAAATGAAGTCGAAGAATAAGATTAATAATACAGATTTTTACAATTCTTATTTACTATAATGCATATATTTATATACCTTGTGCCATTGTGAAAAGGAATAATAAGAAAAAGAGATATTAAAAATGAAACAGATAGATATTATGACTGAAATTCAGTCATAATATAATCCAAAACCTTTTTCTTATTATTCCTTGACTTTAACTTTATCTCTATTTTAATTATTTAAAGTAAATTTACTTTGGCACTACTCCAACAAATAGGTTTCTGGGTTTAAAATTATTTCATATTTAAATATGAAATA